GTTGAGTCACTCATAATTTTGATTGTTTGCTGATTACTGTGTTCCATTATTCACAGCCATGTATCATCAGGGTAAGGCTATTGAAGGCAAAAAAAAAAGTGTGTGTGTGTGTGTGTGTGTGTGTGTGTGTGTGTAATGAACTCTGACTCTCCATTTAAGGAGGGAGCTCAGCTCTGATAACTTCTCATTTCTCACCTAGCTATACCATGTTGGGTCTTCCCTTACTTTTCCATCATCCCCCCATTCCCTTTTCAGCTTCCTTTTCATATTATCTTCTCCCATTAGATTGGAAGTTCCTTGAGAGCAGAGACTGTGTTTTTTTGTGTATTTGTATTCCATGTGCTTAGCACACTGTCTGGCACATAGTATGTGCTTAGTAAATGTTGATTGATTGAGGAGGAAAATAGATTTCATGGTGACACACTTTAGTGTTCAGGTACTGATGGTGTGATATGAAAGCCACACTTTACTTTCAAACTTTTTGAAGCAAACAAGATACCTGCTGTTTTACTTACCATTTTTCCCAGCATAACTGCGATTAAAGCCTTGGCTATTGATATGGGACACTGAGTCAACATCTGTCCCATGGAAGAGGAATTTTTCATTATTTGTGTGTTTGTTTTGGTCATCCATGAATATTTTCTTTATGTTATAGGAATTCCAAAGGCTTCTGTTCTGTATCCTCTGAATCTATAAATTACAAAAGGAAAATCACTGGAAATGAGCACAGTGTTAGGCATGAACTACTTGTGGAAGTGAATTTAAAAATGATCAATCCATAGGAAACCATTTTAGATTTTGTGTAGGATAGTTTTCCTTTGAGCATAAAATAATAAACATCAAGTTTAGTGCTAGCTATTTTGTTTTCCAAATATATTCTTATGTGCAGACAACTATCTAAATGTAGAGTTTTGTAAAGTTATGTTTTGAAAAGAAATATTTGAAAAGAAATATTGGCTAATTTGGTCACTTTCTGGAAATTTTGTTTTGTTTTGAATTGCACATCTGATACCTTTAGTATAGGGCACTCCTGGTGAGGATCCTAACCAACATGGATAGGCACCTGCTTGGAAACACAAAGCTGTAGGGAGGTGCTTGGTGTGAGAGGCTCAGTTTGAAATAAACACTTATCAACTCCAAAGCAAACTTTCTATCCAGTTGTCATTTTCAAGTTGAATCATTTTTTAGTTTGTTTCTGATAGTTGACATTTTCTCAAGGTTGGGAAAAGTTATCCATTTTTCTTCTCCCACTTACAACACACACACACACACACACTGCACACTGACATATAATCACTGTGTTCCAAAAGTTCAAGGACAAATGCTGAACACTATCCTAATCTGCAAAAGCCCTTTTATTTTATTTTATTTTATTTCCTAATGTGAATAGTATTTTATTTTTTCCAATCACATGTACAGACAATTTTCAACATTCATTTTTTATAAGATTTTTGAATTCTAAATTTTTCTCCCTCCCTACCTCCTCCCCAAGATAGCAAGCAGTCTGATATAGGTTATACATGTGCAATCATGTAAAACATATTTCCACTGCAAATGCCTTTTTAAAACATAGTTTGATCTAGGACCATGATCATGCCACATTGCTTTTAAGTCTGTTATTAGGTCTCAAGAGAGCTAGGGTTTGCGATACTGGCTCACCCATCACAGCCACCAGTTCTAATATGTTACTGTGGTTTTTTTCTCTTCCCCTGAGTTAAAAAATAATTGAGGAGGTCACCTTTCTGAGTCTGATAATAAGCTAACCATTGCTGTATGGTGAACTAGATGAGCTGGAAGAAAAATAAAGTTTCATTAGCCTTCGATAAATAGAAAATAAGATGTAATATGCGTGGTGTTTTTTTTTTGTTTTTATTTTTTTGCAATTGGTGTTAAGTGACTTGCCCAGGGTCAAACATCTGGTAAGTTTAAGCATTTGGTCTGAGGCTGGATTTGAACTCAGGTCCTCTTGACTTCAGGGTCAGTGCTCTATCTACTGTGCCACCTAGCTGCCCCAATAAGCATGTTTTAACAAAGAATACTTCACTGGGTGGTGCAAATTTTATAAGAGCAAGTTGTTTTAATTATATTTACTCTTAGCTCTGTTACTATTTGGCATTCCACTAAAATTTAAAAGGAAATTTGCTGCTTTTTTGTGAATAAAAAAGGAAAATACCAACTTACAACAAAAGTTTAGTATTTTTATGTTTGTCATTGTCTTTTTTTAATTTTTAAGGCATTGGGGAGGGGGGCCAGGGCTGATATCTATTTGTAAATGGGCTACAATACTTGTATGGAGTCTTAAATATCATAGACATATAAGCTTTCCAGAATTAGTGGTCTGGCTAACATTCTTTCTCATTTACAAGATAGGCCATTTCAATGGCTTGGCCTTTGGAAATTTCTTTTGTCTCTTTTCCTAATCCCAACTCCACCACTAACCTATTCCATTGCTACAAGAAGAGTCCAAAACAACAGAAAATGGAAGGAACAGTGGGGACAAATAGAGAAAATGAAACTCCAAAGCAAATCATAATTAGGTGAGTGGTTTTTTTTTTGTTCTATTCTGAGTTAGAAAACACTGAACAGTGGCTGTTCCTTGCTGAATCACCGAATATTAGAAGGGGTGTCAGAAATCATCTAATCCAATCCCCTCATCTTACAGATGAAGAAAATTAGGCTCTTAGAGTGGGGAGGTGATTTAGTCAGAGATCATAGACATACGCTCCATAGATGTTAGACCAATGGAAACAAAGAGAAACCAACAGAACTTGTTGATTTTTTTTTTGCCTCTCCATAATACCTAGCTCCAGATACAGGTTGCCTCAGTTGTCCTCTTATCCCACTCCTCCTTCCCCCACCCCAAGATTTTCACAATTTGGGACACATTGTCATTTCTTTTACCATGGAAACTGATAAAAAGAAATAACCCTGTACACCCTAAAAAGATGCAGGAAACTTTGAGTTAGGAAAAGAGATCTATTTGCATTTAGTTTTCCATATACAATTTAAATTTTAATCACATCTGATTGTTATTATTGGCAGATTTTTAGAATCAACATGGAATAATACTAAGATCTATTCCATTAAAAATATCTACACCAACATTTTTCTTAAGCTAATAAAACTGATGAAGATGAAGAATTGGCTTAGGGATCATTAGGCACAAGGATGACAGACTGATAAAAAATTATGAGCAGATAAAGGGATTTCAGAGATCATGAACGTGTAAGTGAAACACTTCTAGGTGATGGTAAGACCAAGGGTATGCCAATTTCACTCTGATTCAGTTAGGTATCAAAGAGCATGCCATGATAGTGAACCTGTAACAGTAGGAGGATGGTAGTGCCATCAGCAGTAATAGGAATGTTGGGAGGAAAGGAGGGTTTTGGAAGAAGATAATGAATTCTGTTTTGAACATATTCAACTTGAGAAGCCTAGGGGACATACGGCTGGCAACATCCGGTAGGTATTAAGGCCAACTAGCATACGGGAAACAATCTCAGACTAGATATATATGTAAGAGAGAAGAGTAGGGGTGAAGGCTAGATAAAGTACTGAGGAATGGAGGATTAGAGGTAATGGCAAGGATAAAGAGTAGGTTTACCTTCTCTATTATGAAGTCAGCACAAGTCTGAGAAAACTTGTCTTTTACTTGGTTGTATTCTTGATGTCCTGGAGGTAAATCCACCAAAAGAAGGTTCTGGTCTTTCATCTCATCCCAGTGATTAGGGATCTCAACTGAAAGACAAACACTTGGTAATTAATAATTTCCTCCCATAGGAAAAGATAAGATTATACTCTCTAGTGCTTTCTAAAAAGCAGAATAGTATCTGAATTCTTTTGCATTCTCTTATTTTTTTTCAGTCAAAGATAAGGTTTATTAGAACATTGTCATATTGGGCAGACTCTTAAGGAATCTGAACATGGGTAAGCAGTGGCTAGATAATAAGAATCTGAGCAGTGGCTAGATTTTAAGAATCTAAGCCTTGCATTTTCTTACAGCTAGGTTTTGAGAATTCAATTCAATTTAATAAACATTATTTAAGCACCCATTACATAAAACTTATTGTACTATTAAGAAAAAAAATACGTACACATGGGGCCCTTTTGAGTATGTATTGACTTGTTCTGCTGACCCTGCCATCAATATAACATGTAACTGATGAAAAAATTAATACATCAAATATACCATAAGTCTATTATTTTACCTCTATCATCAATAAATATTGTATCCCATCTATAATTTAGTCCAAGAGAATTGTCTTGGGGCTTTTAAGTGACTTGCACAGAGTCACACAGCTACTAAGTGTCAGAAGCAGAATATGTACTTATGTCTTCCTATATCCAAGCTCTATCTACTACACCGTGCTGCCTCTTATCATTCAATTATTTCCTTCAAATATTTTAAATCAAATTGAGTGAATTGCTACTTTATTTTAAAACACCAGTACACAAAATTCATTGAGAGTTCATCTTCCCAAAATATTTTATAGGCAGCTAGATAGTATGGTGGCTAGAGCACTGGGCCCGGAATCCGGAAGATCTGAGTTCAAATCCAGCCTCAGACATTTATGAGCTGTGAGTCTATGGGCAATTCACTTAATGTCTGTCTGCCTCAGTTTTCTCAACTGTAAAATGAGGATAATAACAACACTTGCCTTGTAGGGGTGTTGTGAAGATCAAATGAGATATTCGTAGTGCTTACACAGTGCCTGATGCATAGTAGGTGCTTAATAAATAGTTGTTTCCTTCCCTCTTTCATATCCATTCGTGGATTCAAGAGAGTTAAATAGAAAATCAGGTGCAGTAATGTAATGGATAAGGCTGGTAGGAAGGATGGGCTAGTAGGAAGTGCCTTCCACCTATGTCCCAGGTTCTTGTACCTGGCATGGGTTCAGAAACTTTGTCTTAATAGTTCAAGCAGAAATTATTTTTGCAGAAATTATTTGAGGCAAAGAAATCTCAGAAGACATAGAATTACAAACTGGGAAATAAATGTATTAATTTATAGTGGAAGTGCGTGTGGGGGGAATGAAGAAGTAATATTGTATTGTGGGCAGAGAGAACAGTACTTAAAGTGAGTAAGTTCTTCCTCTGATAACATAGTGGATGCCTGACCAAGGGTAAATCATTTTGATTCTCATTGCCCTAGCAGCTTTCCTAAGACTGTAAGTTGCCATGTAGGTGTTGATCTTTTGAAGGTGTTTCCTCCCTGGGAGGGATAGAGAGAATTTTCTCACTGGGAGTTCTTTCTACCCATGAAATCACAGCTCCAAAACCAAAATAAACAAAATAAAACATCCTTCTCCAAACTAGACTCTAGAATCTGAAAAAAAACCAAGGATACTAGCAGTTAAGAAACTACAACCTGAATTTGGGGATCAGGAGTTTAACATCAATAAGCTTCTTGTGATACCTCAGTCTTGTGGCTCCCTCTCATAATCACACTAGCCTTACTTGTTCAGGTCAGTTAGTGAAATCTACTAAGCTTCTTCCATCACTAATCCCCATAGTTGTCTGAGATCCCTTTAACCTCTTCCCCCGTCTCCCCTCCCTGTAGAGGAAGGATCATCAAGGCATCCTTTATCCCACTCTTTCTCCTAATACCTGGATTATTTCTACCATATATATCCAGCATGTCTCTCCAGATGCTGTCCATGGAGCTAGAGGAAATCACAAAACCAACATGATGTTGGATCAAGCAAAACTCTACTATCTAATCTCAGCTGGACACTCACTACAACAAGCAGTCTTTCTCCTCTATGATTGATTAGGTATCCTGCTCAATAAAGAGCTATTTCAAATCTTCTCTTCTCACCTTTTCATAGTACTCCCCTCCCTATTCTCTTAGCTGATGACTTTGCCTCATATTTAATAAAAAAAAATTAAGTCATTTGATGATAGCTTCCCCTTCTCCTGCCTTGTCTTCTTCACCTCACCTCACATAGACATTTTGCCCAACAACTTCCTTTACCAGTTCTCGGGTATTACTCAATACTTGTTAAGCCTCAGCCCATGTGGCATATAGAGACTTTCATAACTGATCACCTTCCTACCTTTTGACTCTTCTTATACTTGACTCCCTTCCACTCACTCAGCAATCCAGCTATACTGGCCTATTCACCATTCCCTTTACACTGCATTTCATTTCTGATTGTCTCTTGCACCTGGGATGTTTCCCTCCTTAGCTTTACTGCCTAGTTTCTCTGGATTCCTTCCAAATTCAGCACATAACCCATCTTTTTCTGGAGGTCTTTCCCAGTCCCCCAGTTTCTAGTGCTTTCTGTCCTTTCTGAAATGACCTTACAACTACTCTGTATATATCTTGTCCCTAGTTACTTCACACGTTGTCTCCTCTATTAGAATGGGGACAGGGAGTCTTCTTGCTTTTCTTCATTATCTCTAGTTAGCCCTTAGCAAAGGGCCTCACACATAGTAGGTGCTTAATAAATGGTTGTTGACTGATCAGATGATGCCCAACAACCCATAATATTCAGTAGTTTAAATAGAGGTCATTAAGAAGCACGAGGTCTGCTTTCCATCTCTGTCCAGGGTGCTAGACAGGGGACAGTGGAAGCATGGGTATATTTACACTACAGAGGAAGATGTTAACAGTTATACCAGCTGCCCAAATTCTTAGACTTTATTCCTGCTTTTCAGTACTAGTGAGAGATACTTTTCCTATACCAACTTCTCTCCCTGACATCTAAATGGCTAGTTCTCAGGCTTCACTCTGATACTGGCTCAGTGTCTAATTCCCTCAGGCCCACAGCATTGAACTCTTCTCAATATAGGGTGCAGAAACCTGAGGATAGCTGAGTTTTTTCCACCTATAACCATCGTAGCTTCAGACCACCTCATCTTTCTCTTTCAACAAACACTGGTTGAACAGCACTTATACTGGGTCTGGTGTTGTTGTGGGCACTGGAGAGATGAATCAAAGGGGAAGGCATTGCTTCTATTCCTAGCGCTGTCCCTGAGCTCCTGTGGAAAGTTGGGCAAGTCATCTACTCCTTGTTGACCCCTGTTGGTTGTTAAAATGTAGAACATTATGAACTCTGTATAGAGCTAGGGACTGGATTTGTGATTTCATTGGCACAAGGAACTATAGGGTGAGAACACTGTCTCCACCAATGCAAGCTGGCACCTTTTCTACAACTCATAGTCTTCAAGACTAGAACAGTGAAAAGTGAAGTGACGTGACCCACAGGCCATAGCATGGAACAATGATTCCTGTTCTTTAAACTTCCAGCAAGAAAGCACCCTTCTTTATCCAGGCTCCAAGGTTACATTTCCCCAGATTATAGGCCTAGCTGCCTCCTTCCCCTCTCACCTAGAGGTACTATACCTCTAGGTATATACTTACGCCTCTATATATAAGTAAGTAAAAAGCACTTATTAACCACCTACTATGTGCCAGGCATGGTATTGAATACAAGCCATATGAAAAGAGGCAAAGAGGTAGCTAGGTGGTGCAGTAAGTGTGACTCTGGGCAGGTCACTTAACCCCGGTTGCCTCCCCAAAAAAAGAGAGAGAAAGAAATTAAAAGAGATGAAGTCAGTCCCTGTTCTCAAAGAGCACACAATCTAATGGGGGAGACAATATGCAAACAACTATAAATAATATACAGAATAAATTAGATGTAATAAGAGACATAAGGAACTAAGAATTAAGAGGGATTAGGAAAGGCTTTTTTTTTTTAAGAAGATGAATTTTAGCTGGGACTTGAAGGAGGTGAGGGAAGCCAGGAAGTAGAGATGAGTAGGGACCAAATTCTAGGCATGGGAGATATTCAGTGAAAATGCCTGGAGTCTGGCATGCTGGTGTGTCTTGTTCAATTAACACAGTGTTCATGGTGGGGTGTGAGGTGTAGGAAGGCTGGAAAGAGAAGGGTGGGGCAGTTAGGAAGGTTATGTTGTGGGCTTCATCTGTTAGATACCTCTGCTCAAGTGCCCAAAATAGCAGTAGAGCCAAAATAAATGCTCAATTGGTTCTGAGGGAGAGGGAGAGTTGGGAAAGAAAAAAGGACAGAAAGACAGACAGGGAGACAGAAAATGCAGACTCAGGGCATTTTCACTAGGTGACCCCATACCTGGATTTCTCTTCCTTCTCATCTCTGCCTACCAATTTCCCTGGCTTCCTGTAAGTCCTAGCTAAAATCCCACCTTCCTCAGGAAGTCTTTATTGATTCCCCTTAATTCTAGTGCATCATCTCTGATGATTATCTCCAATTTATCCATTTTTAACATTTTAGCTTGTTTGTACAGTTATTTTCATGTCACCCCATTAGATTTTTAGCTTTTTGAGAATAGGAACTGTCTTTTGCCTTTCTTTGTACTCCCAGAGGATTAGCGCAATACTTGGACACATAACAGGTGCTTGATAAATATTTATTGGCTGAATGTTAAAGAGATAAAGAGACAGAGAGGGAAAGGTGGGAGAGAGAGAGTGAGAAAGAGAGAGAGAGACAGAGAGACACAGACACAGAAACAGAGGGATAGAGACAGAGAGAATATTAAAAGAAATAAAGCAAAGCTGAACCTACCTTCAGGTTTTTTGATACAATGAACAGGCAAGCTGTGTCCCTTTACATTTGTAGCAAGGTTAGTGCTAAAGTCTACTGTGTAGTTCTCATTCTTAATTTTAACAACAATATTATTTATATTTCCTTTCCTTGCATCCTCTAAATGCAGATTAGTTATTTTGTCAAAAGGCTTGAAAAGACCATTGTCATTAT